AATTTATCTATATCTTATTATTTCAAAATCTGGTTTCAGAGATACCTCTAGGCCACAAGACATTTAGAGATCTAAGTGATGGACATACCTTGATCCTAATGAGTACCCAAACTAGGTTTCGTTAAGATGGCTAACCTGATCTTTTCATACCTCTAAAGATTGGAATGCTCCAAACCTCAGACCAAACCTCTTTCAACTTTAATAATAGATTAAGTGAAAAAAAAATTTTTTTTTAATTTCTCACAGTTCTAGAGACTAGAATTCCAAGACCAGTGTGCTATCAGGGTTGCTTTTTGGTAAGGCCTCTCTTCCTGGCTTATAGACAGCAATCTTCTTACTATGTTGTCATATGGCCCTTCCTCTGTGCGTGCACATGGAGAGAGAAAGCTCTCTGTTGTCTCTTCCTCTTCTTACGAGGACACCAGTCAGGGTGGATTAGGGCCCTAGCCATGTGACCTTTCTACTCATTTTTTAAGGACAGCTCATCCAGTTCCATGACTTTAAATATTACCTTTATTTTCTTGATGACTCTAAAATATATATCTCTAGCCCTTATTTCTCCATGAACTTCAGACTCATTTCTGATTGTCTACTCAATGTCTCTACGTGTATGTCCATAGACCCCATAAACTAACAGGTCAAAAAACAAATTTTTGATTCCCCCTAAATATGTGTCTCCTTGAGTGTTCCCTATCTCATTAAATCCAGTTACTCAGATCAAAACTTTTTGAGTTTTTCCCTTGTATGCCACATCCAGTCCTTCAGCAGGTTCTTGCTGATTCCCTTTAAAACATATCTCAGGGGCGCCTGAGTGGCTCAGTGGGTTAAAGCCTCTGCCTTCGGCTCAGATCATGATCCCAGAGTCCCGGGATCGAGCCCCGCATTGGGCTCTCTGCTCAGTAGGGAGCCTGCTTCCCCCTTTCTCTATCTCTGCCTGCCTCTCTGCCTGCTTGTGATATCTCTCTCTCTCTCTCTGTGTCAAATAAATAAATAAATAAATAAATAAATAAATAAATAAAAGTTTAAAAAATAAAATAAAATAAAATATATCTCAAATCTGTCCACATATCATTTCTTCCAGCATTGCCATTATATCCAAACCATCTTCTCTCACCTGGACTACTGCAATAGCCTCCTAATGGTCTCCTTGCTTTTACTCTTGCCCAGACTCCTCTTTAAAACATAAATTAGATTGTAATTCTCTGCTGCTTAAAATGATTTCTCGTCAGCCTAACTTGGCCCAGCTACCTCTCTGATTTCATCTTCTGTGAATAGCACTGTCACTCATTTCCCTCTAGCTACTCTGCCCTAGCTCTCTTCAGTCCTCCCAGGCATATTCGGACCTTAGAGTTTTTGCAGGTGGTGTTCTCCGCCTTAAATTCCCTTTCTCCAAATAATCCTATGGCTTATTCAATAACTTCATTTGGGTCAAATGACTCAAATGTCATCTCCTTGGAGAGGTCTTTTTATTTCTTTATTAGTCATTCTGCTTAAAACAGGATTCTCCTAAAAATCCCTGTCCTTACTGTGCTTTATTTTTCTCTGTAGTTCTTACTGCTGTCTGACATTATATCAAAACTATTTGCCTATTATACCTGTGTCCACACTAGAATGCAACCTCTCTGAGGTGAGGGTGGGCAAGGGTTTTGTCTATTAGGTTCATTGCTGTATCTTCAGTACCTAGAACAGGGCCTGGCTCATACAAAATACCAAATATAGATTTGTGGAATGAATGAATGAATATATAAATAAGTGGCTGCACCTGTCCTTCAAAGAAAGATTCTGAAGGAATGTTTAAACTCACTGGGCAGGATTCACAGTTCCCAAATCACTGCTCCAGTCTCCATTTGTTACCTACTGCAGCATGCGTGCTTTCTTACTGTACCTTGACACTTTCCCTTCAAATCCTTTCCAGCTTAAGTCCCTCTTTTACCTACTTTCACAGGTTGCACTTGATACCACCATCCTACAAAAGTGGTCTTTTTTTTTTTTAAAGATTTTATTTATTTATTTGACAGAACGAGATCACAAGTAGGAGAGAAGCAGGCAGAGAGAGAGGAGGAAGCAGGCTCCCCACCAAACAGAGGGCCTGATGTGGAGCTCGATCCCAGGACCCTGGGATCATGACCCGAGCTGAAGGCGGAGGCTTTAACCCACTGAGCCACCCAGGCACCCCCAAAAGTGGACATTTATAATTTGTTTTCCAACATAATAAACGCCCAAATATAGAAATAGCAATTACTATTAGGACATGAGGACTAGTTCATGATAATGGTGCTGAGAGTAGAAAGTAAGGAAAAGAAATTTGAGACTTGGACAAATTAAATGCCAAAGTTCTGGAGCAACTTGCAAATATCTTGGAGACAATATCCTTATGAAATCATTAACCAATGGGAAAGGTGACAAAAGATTGTACTGGTGATAACTCACCTGGGCTCTAGTGCACTCTCTCTAGTCTTGAGTCCAATCTGGGCACAAGATTTTTAGAAAGACAAAAAAATGTGTTCAGAGATGGCAGGTAGTATAGTGAACATATATGAGCAATGGTTGAATAATAGTAATTGCAAGCATTTACTGTGTGCCAGGCATTATTCTAAATACTGTTTGTAAAAAGTTATTTAATGCTCATCCTATGAAGTAGATGTAGATTTTACCCTATCATTTCAGACAAGGAAATGAAGTCAGAGAGAGGTTAAGTAACTCCCACAAGGTCACACAGCTAGTAGGAGGTAGAGCCAATGCTGATTTCATTCTGATTCAGAGTCACGCTTAACACTATGTTACTATCTTTTAATATTTTAAAGTGTGCTATTGAAGAAAAATTTAGGTTATTATAGAAGTTCTTAGAAGGCAGTATTAGCCTTTACCTCAAGCTCAACCGTCACCACCTCTTACTCAGTCTCCCTAGTCTCCCCAGTGTGTACTTCTATAATTGGACCAGTAATAGCACTTTATTACACTTATTTGCTTGTATGTAGAGATACTCTCTGTTAACCTATTTATCACCTATTTTGAGGATTATATTTTATTCTCTTTTGAGCCACTAAATTTAGTTTAGTGCTTGGCATAAAATCAACATTTAGTTTTTGTTGAATGAAAAACATGAATAAATGATCTCTCAATCAATTAGAAGTGTCCAGTGGTAAGATAATGAGCTCCTGTTCACTGGAGGTATTTAAGCATGGACTGAATGCTTGAAAGATGCTTGAAGATATGCTGTAGAAGGAACTTTCATGTCATTGTGGAAGATTAGAATAAGTTTCTTTCTAACTATGAATGATCTGATCCTATAATGAGTTAATTATGATTTTTTTCTTCAAACGTTTAGTTAGCACTTACTGTGTGCCTGGCATTGTTTTAGGTGTTAAAGATACGAAGATAAAAATGACCTAGCCGGTATCCATAGAGAGCTTGGTAGTCAGTGGATAACTAAGAAAAAAAGATGCTCAAGGATATAGGTGTAAAGTTTTAGTAGATAAAAATAAATAGAAAAGGACAGATTTTAGAGATGTTTTGAATAAATGGGGGAGAAAAAAGCTGTGACATGGGGGAGAACTAGGTATGAAAGATGACCCTAAAATTGCCTGCCTGAGAAAGGAGAATTTAGAAGTAAAGACTATATGTTATGTTGTTATGGGGGAATTCCCCAAAGGGAAATATCAGTGTTTGCCATCAAGGTGTCTTGCAGGGTTGGATGTAATTCAGTAGAGATTAATTTGTGAATATTTTGAAATTCATGGAACAAGTGTTCTTCTCTTACTAGTCTCCCAAATGAATAATGATGATTACATCTTTCCTGCCATCTACCCCTTTTAGGGGCATTGACATTAAATGGACAGTCTATTAAATCATGTGGGACCCTTCAGTTTCTGTTCCTATTCATGTGCCTGGAATCTGTTAAGCATTGGGGAAGTAGTAGTCTTTCTTTATATTAACCTGGTCCCTCATGCTGCTCATCCTTCACACATGTCTAAATATGTCTTGACACAGAATCATCCTTTCTAGCTGGGACACGTTTCCTAGGTAGGTGGGGAATTCCCCTGTTTTGTTTAAAATCATAGTTGTCTTTGAATTTGGCTAGCATGTTCATGATTAGTTTACTGACAATTGGTTTTTTTCTTCTTATACCATATGCTGTTCCATGATTCATCTGCTTTGAGTCTGTTGCCTTGAAGGTGAAACAATTTCTTCCAGTGTTGATATTTCATAATCTTATAGATAACAAGCATACGCATATGCATAGTCCTTTCAGAAGTTTTAAACATTTGGAGATGAATGAATTATGCTGCCACAAATGGAAAGGAGCAGTATCATAATGGTGATATCTAGTCATCTTTGTTAGGTGGTTGGGTGAACACCAATATTGATAAAGCCTGGTACTTTACTGTGTTTATCTCTTTTTGAGAAATTGTTTACTTATTTATGAATATTAAAATTTAACATTTTACTCCAGTTGATTTGATTGCCATGTATTTTAATTTTTAAACTGACAAGATCTTTATTTGTAGAAGTGGGGTTTAAATTCCAAATAAATTGTAACATTCACTGTTTATATTGTAATGGTTGCATCTTTTCTATATTTAATGTATAGCAATGACTATTCAAACTTTCAGAAATCTTTTAATTTCTGATATAAATAGTAATCTTTCAAAATATTTTAGTAGAACACAGTACATTTCTGAATACAGTACAAAGCAGTTACTTCTTTATTGGTGTTTTCTAAGTGTTTCGTTGGTTGGGCTTCTGATAAACATGGTCTAAATTCAGTTTCCGCACATAGCTTTAATCAAATGCACTTATTACCATGTTGCATCATTAAGCCACATGTATCTATTTACTCAGAATTGCAATGCTTCTTTTCAATAAAGAAAAACTCTTTATAATTTCATGGTATACATGCCCATGTAAATATCTTTATAATTTATACATTTAAAGAAAGATTTTTGAAAGACTCTAATTCTCAGTGCATCTCTCTCCCTGCCCCCTTTACCTGGTTTTAGCTCCTCTTTGGTTCAGGTGTTCTGGTGTCCCTAAGCCTCTCTGGGCCACAGCTGGAAAAAGTGGTGATTGACAGAAGCCTGGTGGGGAAGCTCATCTCAGACTCCATCAGTGATGGTAATTACCCCCATGTGCCTACATTAACAGTGGGGCAGGAGAAATAGTGTGTCAACAGGTACACTAATTATTACCACTGGGGACTTGCAAACACAAGTAATCGCTTATAATAGCATAGTTACAACCCCTGGGACCAATACAAGTTTCGACTAATACTTAATACAAAAATTTTGTTAAGTGTTAGGCTCATATTCTGAGTATTTTTTACTTTTTCCTTTGAAAAATGTGAAGGTATTCTCAAAACAGGTTTTTTTTAGTGTGTTCTTTTAAAAATTAGTCCTTTATTGACATTTCAAGTACTTTTCATTTTCAAATGAATTTTCTGTAAATAACCCAAATGTGTCAACACAGCCACAAATTAAAAAAAAAAAAAATCTGTGATTTGGCTAGTAGGAAGATCTGTTGTTACCAAAATCTAAGAATACTAACTTTTGAGAAAATTTGGGCAGTATTTCTAAATATGTAAACCAATGCCAAATATACTAGATAAAGCTGGATCCTTTTAAGTATACCACAATCAGTATATAATTGCTACAAAGTACGTAATAAAGGGGCGCCTCATGGCACAGTCAGTAGGGTGTTCATCCCTTGGTTTTGGCTTGGGTTGTGATCTTAGGGTAGGAGATTGAGCCTGGTGTCAAGCCTTGAGTTGGGATCCATGCTCACCATGGAGTCAGAGTTGGCTTGGATTTCTCTCATCCTCTCTCTTTGCCCCTCCTCCCCACTAACCCTCCCACACATATGCAGGTGTGCACACACTCTATCTCTCTCTCCCTCTCTCTTTCTCTCTCAAATAAATAAATAAATCTTTTTAAAAAACACATAAAAAAGATTTTAAGCCAATTTTTGAAATAGGATACTGACATTTATTTGAGCCCTGAAAGGCTCTGAGATGCTGTGTCTACCTACTTATTTAATTAAAAAGAAGCTTTTGTGGTATAGTTATTTCCATTTTATAGATAAGGAAATTGAAGCTAAGACACTAAGAAACATGCCCATGAATGAGATACCAGGGAGCAGCTTGAAAATAACCAAACTAAAATTGGAACCCAGATTCTAGCTGCAGAACCCATTTTCTCTCTGCTCTACTATGCTGACTCCTGAAATATTAAGGTTATGTTCTTTTATTGAAGGTAAAAAGGTTTAAGAAACAGGTTGCATTATCATTAGTGATTGAAGTTGTCAGTATCTTAACTGAATAATCAAAACAAATTGTGGTCCAGTGGAAAGGACAGAGGTGAAACTATAGACACCTTCCTTCTGCTGTCTGCTATCACTGGCTACCTCTGAATAACACAGACACATTTTCATCAACTTAGAGAAAAGCTTTTTGCAGGTTGGCTATAATTGACAAAATTCTTGATAATAAGCTGAGGGTAGAATTGTAAGTGTGCCATTTCCTCCTCCTTACAGGAACATGGTGTCAAGGAAACTTCCTATGGAAGAAGTTCCATTTTCATATGTGTCATAATTGACCCCTTTTTTGACACCACAAATAAAATAGTGGCTATGATGATTTTGTCATGTTGATGCTCCTCTATAAGAATTAAAAGGAGACTTCCAACACTATTCGTGTCTCAGAGATATCTCTTTTTACTTGTTTCTTTTATTTATGCCCTAAATAATACACTCTCATGAGACCATGATAACAATGTGATTTCTTGGCAGCTCTCCAGACTCTCCTGTAATTGTGTAGCTATACTCTTGGCTGCTGCTTGCATAGCTAGGGTGTGGAAGTAAAGAAAAATATATGAAACACTCAATAATTTCTTTATGGTAGGAATAATGTAAAACATTTTTCAAATTCCCATTATACTAAGCTTTTATCAATATTTTTATAACATTAATAACCCTTTATGTAACTCATGAGTATTAATTGTCTGCCTACTTGTGCGTATTAGAAATAAAGCTGTAGAAACATTTTTGCTAATCTTCATTATTATATATTAATTACTGTAATGTGCATGTAGAGTGTAATATGCTTTATTTAATTCAGCTTGTATACCCTCAAAAAGAAGGTTCATTGATGAAAAATTTAAAAACAACAAAAAAAATACAGGGCTGTGTAGCTTCTGCTCAGGTCATGATCTCAGGGATCTGGGATCAAGCCCTGTTTTGGACTCATTGTTCAGTGGGGAGTCTGCTTTTCCCTCTCCCTTTCCCCTCCCCCTGCTTATGCGTGTGGGCATTTCTGCTCTCTCTTAATAAACAAATAAATAAATAAATGTTTGTACATATGTGGAGAACACTGATCTGTATCCCCTAAAAAAATCAATTTATTTTCAGATGGTTTATATCATGTAAACACAAGATTAAAGGCTAAGTACAAATAAAAATTAAGTATTTTCATCTTTACCTTCAGTTATGAGATAGTCTTTATTTTATGCTTTTCTAGCCTTGGTTCATTTGGTGGTTATCCCCAAACATCAGTGTTACCATAAAATGGTATTAGGTAAAAAGGAAAGCATCAAATCCATGCATGACTAAATTGATGATTATTGTTTTTTTGTAATTTCTTTCTTTTTTTTATGATTTTATTTATTCATTTGACAGAGAGAGAGAGATCACAAGCAGAGAGGCAGGCAGAGGGAGAGGGGGAAGCAGGCTCCCTGCTGAGTAGAGAGCCCAGTGTGGGGCTCAATCCCAGGACCCTGAGATCATGACCCGAGCCGAAGGCAGGGATTTAACCCACTGAGCCACCCAGGTGCCCCATTTGTAATTTCTTTAATATCCTTGTAAAATAATGATATTTAGGAGACTAGTATTTCAGTGGGTATTTATCTTCTGAGAATAGCTTTTTGTAATATTTTAGTGAAAAAAATTTCACAATTCATTATCATTGTATTCTAACTTAGTATTTTATAAAATTATCAAATCTTTTTTGTTTTAGCTCTTCTCACAGACAATTTCATCATCTTGTCATTTTTGGCGCAAAACAAACTATGTTTTATTCAGTTTACCAAGAAGATGGGGTCTCCTGATACAAACAAAAGACTGGAAAAACTCTCAGCCTTGGATTATAAGGTAGAGTTTTCAATTTATAGAGTTATATTCTTAGTTACTAGAGTATACTAAAGTATCACATGGATTGATATTATACTTATTATTCTTGAACATTTCTAGATTTCAGACAAACCAGAGTTAATTACGTGATTAAGGTTCATTCACTGAAAATAGTGACTATCTTACCTTTTCTTTTTTACTCTCATTATGGGAATCTAATAATGGCATTTTGGAGCAATTTATTTAGTTCTTTATGGAAATCAAAGATAGTAAAGACAAGTTACACATTTGAAAATGGTTTTCTTGCTAAAGGCATTATAAATACCATTCTCATTTTTCCCTGAAACCCCATATCATCTTTCTAGGCAAGGTTAGCTGCTCTGGCTTCCATTTCACAAGAAAAGAAAGAAGAAAGAAGGCACTTTCAAAGGTTAATAGAAAAGTGTAATAAACAAGGAGTGGGAAGACCCCTCACTCCCCACATACACACATGTATACCCAGCTATAACTAGAGAAAAATGCAAAATGAATTCTCCTTCATATGTTAGTATCTCTCCCTTCACTAACTCCAGGTAATTTGTTTCCTTGTATCAGGGATTTTACATCTGTTAAGGCAGGATTTTTATTTTAAACGATGTGTTTAATATAAGTTTTGCCACATTACATTTTAACTGCTTGGAAGGCATACTCTCTGCTAGGATGAGTATCTAATACATTTTCCAGGCTGTTTCAGTTCAAGGCCTCTTTTCAGCAATGACTTGTGTTTGCAAGATTGATCCAGCCTCTGTAACGTGGATTTGAGACAGTTCACTGTTCACTGGGAACAGAGCTGATATACAGTTTCCTTAAAAAAGATGCATACTTATGCCATACCCAGAGTATCTATCTATAATACAGGCAAAGATTTTTAGAAGTCACCTTTGTGATTTGAAATTTGTGTTTGATTTTGAGAAAGTAGTATTTAAGCTAAACTTTTGCCCTTTGGGATTATTTCTTACTATGATTGAAGTGGTAGTGATATGGGGAGGATGTAATTTTATTTGGTAGAAACATCTATTCTTATAAAAATAAGATTTTTGACATGGGATAAAAAAATTAAATAAGTTTTTCATTGTGATAATGAACTGTAATTTGGTTTTATTTCCCAACCTTGTGGAGTTTCTGTAACATTTTGTATAATACTGATTTTCTTTAATTGGAGTTGGTGATATTCGTGTATTATATTTTGGTTAGTAAAAAAAACTGGTATTAGCATTCTTAATGAGATGTTATTTTCCAGATTGACTTACTATAGATTTATTTGAAATGTTGCTTATTTACAAATGCTGGTCTTTAAAATGTACCAGTATGGAAAAAGTAAGTAAATTAATGAAATGCTCCAATATGCATTAACTCAAACTGTTTAAAATGTTTTCAGTACTATTATATAAAATTTTGTATGACTGGTTTCTCCATCTTAGGTGTGATGGATAGTTTAGTAGTCTTCTCAGCTGAAGGATAGTAGCTACCCAATAATGAGATCAGAGAGAAACTGTCAGGATGTCATCTTTTCTTATGAAAAAATGTGAAAAATAGACTTACTATATGGACTCTTACACTTTAAGGGAATTTCTTATTTGTTTATTCTTTTTTGTCTTTGGATTTGAGGATAATATGGGCACTCACATCATTTCTATACATTGGAGAACTAACTGCTTCTCTTTGGAAAAGCCCATCATGGATTTCATTTTTTTGTTCAGTATTTGAAATATAGATATTTAATACATAGTAAAAACTGCCATTTGTCAATAGGAAGGAGAATTTAAGAAACTTGTTCATTTTACTTGCCTTGTTGACTATTATGATAGAATACTGATGCCATTAAAACTCACAAGAAACAATAAATTACAGATAACATACATTATTTTGATGTCCTATTGCCATGTAAACATGTTGCTTACAAATTGCTAGATGAGAAAACAGAGTTAAGAAACTGACACTTTTAATCCTCATATAGTTCAAATCATGTATGTTATCTGTAATTTATTGTTTCTTGTGAGTTTTAATGGCATCAGTATTCTATCATAATAGTCAACAAGGCAAGTAAAATGAACAAGAAACAATAAATTACAGATAACATACATGATTTGAACTATATGAGGATTAAAAGTGTCAGTTTCTTAACTCTGTTTTCTCATCTAGCAATTTGTAAGCAACATGTTTACATGGCAATAGGACATCAAAATAATGTATGTTAATTTGTAAGGACTTAGCAATTCCATTATGGTATTTATCTCAAGAAAATACGTAGTTAAAAAATGATATTGAAAGCATAACTATAAGAATTTGCACTTCAAAGCCTAAATTACATCTGTATTGTCTGTCATTGCCCATTTGGATTTTAAAACAAAGAAATAATGTAGAGTATTTATAATTCTGCTTTTCTTTACATAGTACCATAAGTTAATTCTTTCAGATTGAAATAATTTTGGCAAAGAAAATTGCAGGGTAAAAATCCTGAGACTGTTGACCTTTAACAAGTTTTCCAGTCTACATTTTAAAAATCCAATTCAATTTATTTAACAGGAAAGGGACAGCACAAGGAGTTAAATGTTTACCATAAGAGAACAACACTGGTAATTACTTTGATTTCAGTTCCTTTTGATGTGCATTCAGAGGATGAAGAGGTCAATGATATTATGGCCATGCAAATAGAAAAGGGTTCCTTTTGACCATATTAAAAAAAATAGCAGAGGATTATTAAAGCATTAACCTTGATTTTAATGGCCTTGGTTGAGTGGTGAGATCACAATTTGGATGAGCCTGATTATTTACTAAATACAATACATAAATGCAACGGGTTCTTAACACCCATTGCACTCTGGCATTATCGCATTACTGCCATCCTTTGTTGCCTTGCAGACAGGAATATGAAAGCAATCTGTCATGTAGTGAGACTGGCTCCAGAAGCATTTCTCTGATAAGAAGACCCCCTGCCCTTTGCTAGTGTCTGGTCCAGTAGGCTTAGCCATGCGCTTAATCCCCAGAAAGTGGTTCGATTATTGCTGACCAGCAATGGCAAGATAGTTTTTTTTTTTTCTTCCAAGCTATCAACCTTCCATTAATTCCTTAAGCAGAAATACGGTGCAATCTATATTTCCTTGGCATGTGTCACCCAGATGGTGCTGTGCTTATGTTTTCAAATAACCATGTTCCAAAATAACATAGTTTGAATAATAAATTCTACAAATCCTTCCTAAGAAAGAGAAGCATAATTCTCAGAAGCTGCATAAACTTTTACGCATGATGCTGTGACTTATCCCTTTATGCAGAATATATGTCTCATATATTCTAAAAGAAAAAAAAAGTGATGTTTGCCTCAAGTTGTTTTTCCTTTTATTGTTGTCAGTCATTGTTAATATGTTATGTCTTAAACAGTAGTCAGATACTCTTGGTCAGCAGTACTAAACTTGTCTTTTAATACAGCTGGTCTTAAATCCTATGTGTAGGTCGATGCTGTCAAGCAGCCATGACTGTACATTTTGGTATTGATTGGGATTGCTACAGCCAATTCCTCCCTAACTCACATTTCTCCTTTTCCTTTCCTCCGCTAAAAATGGGGAGAATTTTGAACATATGTCTTTTTTATATATGTGTCAAAAGAATTTGGTAAATTCTGACACCTCCTTAAGCACATGTTTAGCATGCATATTTACTTGCATTTATCTACATTTACAGATGCTTTAATTTTTGTAATACTGTGAGGATTTTGCATTAAAAAATTATTTTTGTATGCTTTTTTTTCCTTAATCATTAGATTTCCTATTATGAGATACCTGGCCCAGTAAACAGGACAACAGAGCGTCGTCTTGCTATCAATTGTGTTCAGGATATAGTTGCTTGCTGGTGTCCACTGGTCAGTGATGATGCTTGGCCTTGGGCTCCCATTTCTCCTGAGAAGGACAGAGCCAATCTGCTGCTCCTAGGTTATGCTGAAGGAAGACTAGAGGTAAATTTAAAGCAAATATATACATTTTGTTGAAGAGCAAATAAAATAGGATTCTAAAGTTTTTATATTCTGAAATAAAGATGAATACTTTTTAAAACCTATAATTTATTTTCCTAAATTCTGAAACGAGGAAATTACATATAAAGTGGGATCCTTAGAAGTATCATATTTATAAGGTAAACAGACAATTCCAGGGCTGGCCCGAATCTCACAGTGATTAAGAACAAAGGCTTCTGGGTTCAAATCCTAGCTCTGCCACTACCCAGCTCTCTGTCCTTGAGCAAGCTATTAACCTCTGTGCACTGTGGTTTCATTATTTGAAAAATAGAGTTAACGAAGATAAGTTAATACATGCATTTAGAGCAATATGTACATATAGTAAACTCTCAGACATGGATCGCTGTTGTGATTCTTGTTATTATCATTTTTAGTACTGTCATTACTACTTGCCTATAATTTCATGCCTGCCAAAGCTATGTTATCTGTCACCTTCTTTATACTTTAGTCATTGAATAAGCAAACATTAAACAAATGCTTATTTTGTGGAAGACTCTGTGGTACCAAAACATAGCTGAGGCAAGAATTTATGAGGGCTGTAGAGCAATGGCCTTCTCAGTATCCTACCTTGGCAGGAACACCACAAGGGTTAATCTGGGGCGGGAGGCGGTTGGGAGGAGTATTTCATCCCATGTGTTCCTGACAGTGGTTCCATCATAATTCATTATTGTGAACCTATGGGTAATTCCACCTTGTACTAGTACTTTGAGTATGGAATTCCGTTTTTCTTTTTTATAATTAAAAACAAAAGCAACCCTTCCTGTTCCTTTTTTAAGTTTCTGCCTGAGTAAAATATAGACAGTCCCAACTTGTAGATGGTTTGACTTAGTATTTTCAACTTTGCCATGGTGTGAAAGCAGTACATGTTCAGTAGAAGTCATACTTTGAATTTTGAATTTTGGTCTTTTCCCAGTCTAATGATATGTGATAGGATACTCTCCCATAATGCTGGGCAGTGGCATTCAGCCTCAGTGCCAAGTCAGACATGCAGTCATGAAGATAAATAACTGTTACCCTTACAACCATTCTGTACTCATACAACTATTCTGTTTTTTGCTTCCAGTATAGTAGTCAACAAATTACATGATATATTCAATACTTTATTATAAAGTATACTTCGTGTTGGACGATTTTTCCCAAGTGTATTCACTAATTTATGTTTCTGAGCATGTTTAAGGTAGACTAGGCTAAGCTGTGATGTCTCGTAGGTTAGGTGTATTCAATGCATTTTCAACTTGGGATATTTTCTTTCTTCCCTTTTTTTTTTTTTTTTTTGACAGAGAGAGAGTACAAATTTGGGGGAGGCAGGCAGAGGGAGAAGCAGGCTTCTCACTGAGCAGGGAGCCCAATGCAGGGCTCAATCTCAGGACCCTGGGATCATGACCTGAGCCAAAGGTAGACACTTAACGACTGAGCCACCCAGGCACCCCTCAACTTAGGATATTTTCAACTTATGATGGGTTTACTGGGATTTGACTCTATTGTTAGACAAGAAAGACTCTTTCCATATTTTCTCTAAATCTACTGTTAGGCTTTAATTCTGAGATATGAACAAGTCCAAGTTTTTTCTATCTCAACCTGCCTTTTCTGGTATTAGAAACTTTCAGGCTGTCTTTTAAGACTGTAGAGTCATTTTTAATTAATTAATTAACCTTTTTCTGGAACTTTTCCAATTTTGTTGCAGTGACTAAAACCACTTGTAATACTGTATGTGTGGATTTGTGAGGCTAAGGAAGTGCTTTGTTCCTATTGACTTGCTTTGCATGCCCATGCTTTATTGATCTTGGGTTCAGAAGCTAATTGAGTAAAAGACTTCATCAAAATGATTGTAATAAAGCTAATTAGAATTCTATCAAGTGTTCTGCCTCATAATAAAAGGTAAAAATAATTTAGTTATACTTTACATAAATTACCTATTTTGAAATGAGTATATTACATGAAATTAGGAGTGTTCTAAAAAGTATACATATGGCCTACATACCTTATCTCCTGGTGTCATCTAGATCATCAACTAGGTTTGTCCAATTAAAATTGGACAAACCTAGTTTACCTGTTGGTTGGACCATATACATACTAATTGTGTAACCTTAGTCAAATTTATTCCCTGTAAGCTTCTGCCTGCTCTTAGCTAATTTTGAGAACTCTCTGACTTCAGTTTTCTATATTTTAAAATGATGGATTTCAACCAGATAGGTCACCTTCAGGTCTGTGACAGCTCTAAAAAGTGCTCATCTGGATTCTGAAGCTACAAGTTTGAGCCATTGCTTACTCCAAAGACTTTAGTAGATATGAAACTAAACTTAGCCTCAGCACTGAAAGCCCACCCTGACTGGCCCTGACCTACCTTTCAAGTAGTATTTCCTTATACAAACCTATGTTCTAGCCAACTGGTTTACTCACTGACTCTTATTTTCCATGTCCTCCCTGTACACATTACTGGTATTTCTACCTTAAAAGCTCTTTCTTCTGTTTCCACATCATTCAACAACTATTTGAACATGACCGTGGAGTAAACACTGTATTTCATTCCAGGGGATATGAATACAAAAATATTCCTGCCTGCAGGGATCCTAGTGTCCACCAATGAGAGACAAATATGAAAATGTGTAAGTGCACTAAAGCATTAAATGATGCTGTGGATAGAGGATGTACAAGCTACAGTAGGAGCCAGTGGGGAATGATTGATTCTGCTTAGGGACATAGTCAGGAGGAAACATTAAGGAGGCTTTACAATTTGCTCAAACACGAGATTGGCAAACAGTTTTACTTGCTTTTATTCTCATTTCTAAGTCCCATTTAAAGGTTGTACTAGCCCTCTGGAGTGATTTGGCCAGCTTTTCCTTTTTCTCCTCTTTGAAACAGTACCAAAATGAATTACCTGACATTTGAGCATTTGCTAAAACTCACCTACAAAACTGCTTGGGTGTGGTATCTTAAAGAAAGGTAGGTTTTTACATAACAGATTCCAGTTTTTGTTTTGTTTTGTTTTGTTTTGTTTTCCCAGGAATTCTGTTTTTTTCTTGAAGTCATTTTCCTCAATTTGTATTTCTGGAAAATTATCCATTTTATATAAGTGTTTTTGAATAGATTTTCATAAAGTTGTATATGATACTTGCACATGACTTTTAGTTATTCATCACTGATTGCATAGTTAATGTCCCTCTTTTCAGTCCAACTATATTAAGATAGAAAAATTCCTTTTTTTTTTTTAAGCAAGAGTAGCTTTTTCTTGGATTTGGCCCTTTCAATCATTCTATCAAAGTTAACCTTTTGGAAAAATTTGTGAAGATTAGTTTTGCAGAATCTCATGTGAATTTCTATATGTAAAAGGTGAACATCTTTGGAAGAAATCTCTAGGGAAATAACTTTCTTTTTTTCATATGTGAAGACATAATTTTTAACTATGAATTAATTGTAGAACATTTTTTAGAATATTGTGAACGAAAACCACTGGTCTGTATTCAAGCATATGTCTTTAATTTTTTTCCCCTGGCCACCATTGTATATAGACTTCTTGAACTAATCATCAGAATAAATGATACAATCTACTCTTAAACTCTAAAATTCAAACTAAAAAAGTAGCAACCTTATAGAGAAGAAATTTAATCTTTGCATATGTTAAGCTATAGAATTTTTAAAAAGCATCTCCCAGCCAAGTTCAATCAGAAAATATAATAAGCTTTTAGTTGGAAAGTGGCAAGATCCTAGAGTAGTGGTTCCTAGCCTTGGCTAGAATCACCTGCAGAGCTTTTGGAAAGGGGCCCACCCCAGAGCAATTAAATCAGAATATTCAGAGGGAGAGGAGGCACCAGTATTCTTTAATAGGTTCCCTAGGTGATTCTCATGTGCATCTACATTGAGAAACACTGCTTTACAGCAAACTAAAAAAAAAAAAAAAAAAAAAGAAGAAGAAGAAAAAAAGAAAGAAAAAAATTTAAAGCCATCATTTTTGCATAACAGACCATGGAAAGGATAAAGCCCACATACTGAACCAAATGAGAGTTTTAACAGTAACTTCTAAGTAGAAAATTGGCTTACCAAGCAGCTAAAGAAAAAAGAAAACAAAGGAAACATAGAAATAAGCTCTCTGTGACTGAATTATCTGTCTTTCAGAGGAGGAACATTTTTAAATATATTTTATGGATATTAGAAAACTGGTCTAATTTCACACCACAGAGCTCTAAACAACAGCACATATCTTAATTAGAAGCATAAAGCAGAGAGAGTTATGTAGTCTAGAGAAAAAAATTTCTTTTGAAAAATATACAATAGATAGTATATAGAAAAATGTTTTATCAGTAAATTAATTTAAAAACAGTTTTTAATTGTGTATGTGTGGATTATCATATATAACATGGTAATCATTTTTATTTAAGTTCCACATACTTTTTATTCTTTCCTTTCTGGAAAATTTTAACCATCATCACAGAATTATTTAATTCATTCACTTTGTCAAAAATGTGATGACAACGTAACTTATTCTTCCCTTACCTTTGTATTTGAAGAAGTATTTTAACTTCTCAGCTGAATGGATTAGATAATGCTTTCTGAGTATGGTAGTAATTTCAAGGTATATTCCTCAGAATAGATCACCTCAATTTGTTTACCAGATTAATCAAAAACACATGAGCAGAGTTATTAAACTTTAAAACGTGTTGTCAGGGGTAGGGAAATAAAACCTCACAAAGATAACTGTTTACCTCTAAAATTTAAAAACCATTTTGCAATGATTTAGATAGAGGAGCAACAACTAATGGAAAAGTAGAAGTTAATGAATTTTTAATATAGCATAATTTGATTAAAGAAGTATTCAAAAAGTGTTAAACATGCATTCAACTGAAAGCCAAAATATTTAAGAAACCTCTCTTCCAAAGAAATGTATGTATTATGTTAGCTTTCATGAAAACCAGGTAACAAAGATTTTATATTCTAGGCATGATAGC